AAGAGACATGAAGAAGAGGGGACACATGTTGATGAAGAAGAGGGGACACATGTTGATGTAGAAGAGGGGACACATGTTGATGAAGAAGAGACATGGACGCGTGGATTTTGCATAATAGGTGACCTTTAAGTGGGTCTAGTGGAAAACACACCTTGAGGCCCCCCTTGAACCCAGAGGTGAAGCCCTTTAAATACTGATGTATTTTGGGAGTGAGGTATGCATCTGCGCAGACGGTGTATCCGCGAGGCACCGCCCGCACCATGGGCATCACCTTGCTGGACAGAGACACCTGAGAGAAGCCCAGACGGAGAGCCAGAGCCCCGACGGCTTTCTCATGATCCGACCATCTGAAGGAGAGAGGCAGAGGAATGAGGCGAGGCAGCAAAGCAAACATAAAAGTCTTATGTAATTAAAACCGCTCCTGTAAAGCCTGCCTTATCTTTTAAAACTGAGATATGTGAAAGCAAGTTGGGCAAGTGCTTTGACCACTTGGAGGTAGAAGTGTGAATGGATTCAAGGAGAACATGGGAATCGATACAGTTATTGATCCCACACTAGTATTATATAACATCATGCCCTTGGTGTGCGAGTTTTGATGTAAATTGTATGAGGTGTGTTGTTCTATAGATCTGCTACATCAGCTTCTTTCCAGTAAATTAAAACATGTTCGATAAAGTGGGATATACTTTAATATAATGCACGTTTTTAATTTCCAGTTACTTGGAGAACTTTTATTTTGAGCTTTGTTTGAGTGAGAGAAGGTCCTGTAGCTTAGGCAATTTAGCAGAAAATGTAAGCTAAGAAATACTAAATGTTTATTATGGAATGTATAGTTCTGAGAAGGAAAGAAAAGTTGGAAACGGCAGGTTTAGACTTTCAAAAATTGGGAAATAGATGCACCTCTTAAAGTTAAACACGAACTTTCCCCCAGTTCAGCTCATGGGGACCCATACACTAAAAGTGGAAATCAGACACCCGACACCTCTGACATACATACCACTATCCCCACAGAGAGGGTGGGAGCTGTTCACCATTGTACAGTGACAGGAAGAAAAGACAAATGACTTCTATAAGAGAAGGAGAGATGGGCGAGGCAATCCTTAAAAGGTAGAAGGACAAGATGTACTGACGTGTAGGAGTGCAGCAGGAGGACAGCGAGGCTGGTGATCCCCCGGGACAAAACCCCCTTCAGGTCCTTCTCCACCAGATCCAGATCCAGCTCCCTCCACACCTCCAGAGAGTCTCCTGTGCTGCCTGAGGGAAAAAACACACACACAAAGCAGGACAATTAAAATGATGCTAACAAACAATGCCATCACCCATTTAACAGAAGATTGATTTAGATGACATTCAACCTATTGTCCTTGCACAAGCACTGAGCCTCTAACCAGAAGTGCAGAGGGATATTTATTATGATATAAATCTATACATCTGTATAAGGCAGTATACACATTACAAACAGCAGTGTGGAAAAATAAATACACTATAGATAAGGTATAAATAAGACAGTTTCATAAAGACATAATAAATAATTAATAGGAATATATTGTGGGCCGTTTTTAAATTCTGGGAATAAATATGAGTATGCCATAGAAAATAGTTGTTTGGAAAGTTTTTGTAAATACTAGGGCCGGGACTTTAACGCGTTAATTAAGATTAATTAATTACACAAAAATTAACGCGTTAAAAAAATTAACGCATTTTAATCGCACTTATTTTTGCACCGCGGAACGTTTCTCACTGGATGAGTTTCAGGGGTACCGATTATACTGGAGCACCAACTAACGTTCATTACTTCAGACAACAACAAACCACAGTGAACAATAGTCAAACGTGAACGAAGAAGCTGATGAGACCGCTTTGGTTGGCCCCGTGGATGGGACATTTTGTTTTAAAAAACGGACGGATGGAAGCGTCAATAAGAGCACGGTTGTTTGCAAATTATGCAAAAAGGAATTCGCATATCACCGCAGCACATCAAGCCTCAAGTATCACCTCAATGCAAAACATATAGCAGCTAGCGTGGAAGCTAGCGTGGACGTTAGCCCGACTCGGATTACAAGGACCCACACCCAATTCGCGTTGATCAAACAGTGGCCTATGCAACAGAGAGATTTTATTTTT